TTATATACTAGGTGTTCAATTTAATAATATTTTGAATTAGATGTAAAGGATAATTGATAGTTTATGTGTTCTTTTACATCTTAATCAAATAATTGGAAATTTTGTTGTTTATTTGTGTTATTTTAATTACTTATTTAATGCTTCTATATAATAAGAAATTATATGTGGGTTTTAAACCCAACCCACCCCTACCCTTCAATATGGGGAGGGTTTTGCATTTTCATGTGTGGGGAGGGTTTGTATTCTCACAACCTAACCCACTAGGCGGGTAAAATCTAGAATTTACAAAACCCTCCCCAAACCCACTCTGTTGCCATCCCTGCTCATATATATATCATGAAATATTGGGCAAACTTAAATTGCATCGGATCAATACTCAAGACCTCAACCTAAKCCCATCTTAAAGTTCAAAAACTCAAACCCAACCTATGCAAAAGCTTTGATTGAATCGGGTCTAGTTTGAATTGGGTACACCCAACTTGCACCCCTATCTCTATTGCCTGAAATTCTTTCAACAAAGCTCGTACATCTCACGGGTTCTGCTAGTTTTACATATAAAAAACAAAAACTATATAACATAATATAATATAAGTTTGATTAAACTCGTGAGTCTCAACTTCATTGGGTTCAAGTCCATTCAAAACTTAACAAATGTTCWTACACCCCAACCTACTGTCACAATAAAGACATCCTACCTAGTTATGCATTTGGACTCGTAAAATGGATGCCTTATGATTAACTCAATTAGGAATTAATTGGAAAGATAAACCCTGTACCAGATTGGTGAACTGCAAATAAAGGCAATCATCATTAACTTGGGCATTTTACAGAACTACTTTAATTTTATAAAACCTATATCCCTTCTGAAAAATGTATTGATTTTTTAAACCAAAAAGAGGAATGAACAGCTTCCTCCCCATCACCCTTGAATTCGGATCTTCTCCTCATAGAGCGCGCCAAATACGAATCTCACAGTGTATCGCAGCTGTGCATTGGAAACATCTTCCCATGAATGGTCATATCAAGTACCGGAGATATTCTCAATGCATGGTTGTGATGCACTGTGGGGTTGGTGTAAGGTGCACTGTGTGAGGAGCAGATCTGATCTCATCACCCCTACCTTTTACTTAAAACATTATCAGTTTTGTTTTTCAGAAAAAAAAAAAAAAGAATTGCAATATAGATAAAATCAATACATTTTTACTGATGCAGGAGTATTTTTTGAAAAACAAAATCATACACATTGATAAACATCCCTAAATCTATTAGGCTCTAAGGTTGTGTTTGGTTTGAAGGAAAAAGTAGGGAAAGGAAGGGAAAGATAGAAAAACCTTTATAAACCTTGTATAGGTTTCCCTACCTTTCCTTACCTTTTCCTTCGAACCAAACATAGCCTAAATGGTTTTTTATTTTGTTTTGATAATTAACCAGCTTGGGGGAAGATCCCACCCAAAAAACAGTTACCATTTTTCGATTATCATATATATATTAATTTTAATTTTATTATACTATTTTATTCCGATTTTATCATATTTTTTCAATTTCTAGTCTATCTTGTTAATTTATTTATTTTTATTCTTTTCAATTTAAAAAACAAAGTCATGCAGACAACGACCCGGACACAGCACAGGACCACCTGCCATGGGCCATGCCGGGCTCCCTTTTGAGGTGTTCTGGGCCAGGCAGGCACAACACATGCTACTACAATGTGGGCGGCGAACATTACACCTCTAGTTGGTAGGATTTCTAATTTGTTGTCACAGAAACTTGTGATCAAATCCCACTGTGTGACTGCCAACTTTGTTGTTTTGGGGAGCTAATGGGATGAACTTACATCCATCCTGTTAGTTCGGGGCCTTCGGGCATATGTTATTGCGCTTGGTTGTAGTGTAAATTTAGTTGCACTGATGCATAATTATAGTAGTGCAAATAATTTGAGAGCAAATTTTAATTTATTTTTGTTTCAAATTTTATCCTTTTCTCTGTTTGATTGCAATACAAATTACGTAAAATAACACCTATAGCAGAATAAAATAAAACCCAAAACAAAATTAAACCAAAATTTACATTTTTATCATTTACACTTTTATATATTTGTATTAATACAAATAAAATTGTACTGCAACCAAACACAAACATGAACCTGTGGATGCGTGGTGCTCCTACATTGTGTGAGGAGCCACGCTGTGAGGAATAGATCCAAATTCCTCTACAAAGGCGAAGTGTTGTTAGTTAAACCAAGGTTGTGTTGAACATATGTACTTGAAATTCCATATAAGTGCATAGGCACTTTGACTTTACCATAAGAAATTCCATATAAGTGCATACAAATGCACTAGTTTTATTTATAATCCTTGTTTCAGTTTCATTGGAGTTACACAATGAAGGGGGGAGGTAGCCCATCCCTCATCCTCTCAGTCCACCAACCCTTTTTAGTAGGTARGGGTGGATTTGAGTCAAGCAAGTAGAATATCTATTTGAGTTCTGCTTGCTAGGAAAAATAAAAAGAAAAGAAAAAACATGAGGCTCAAGTTTAAGCTCAATCTCAAATTTGAGTTACAGACTTGAGCTTGAATTTGGTTTGAGTCGAAAGGCCATATGTTGAATTCCGCGGCTTGAGATTAAATCAAGCTATAGACTTGAGTTTGAATTCGGCTCAAGTCAAAAGMTCATATGTTCAAGCTCAGCAGCTCGAACTCGACTACAAGCCAAGCTTCATATAAAAAATAAAAATTTATACATATAAAAAATTATTTTTTATTTTAGATATAAAAATTAAAAATTTTAAAAATTATTTATTATCATACATATAAAAAATAAAAATATATAATATAATACAATATAATATAAGGTCGATTAAACTTACAAGCCTCACGAACTAGGCTTTATTTTATTGGGTACAATTCCATTCAGAACCTAACAAATGTTCAACCGAAATGATAAATCTATAAATATAAATGTATGTGTATATCACACAGGATGTTTTTCCAAAGCATGACAATTATATCCTATAATGCAAATGATGATGCCAAAACTGAATTGATTTCAGGTAGAAAAGTCAGGTCAATCCAAACCAAACCAGAAAGCTTCAAGTTGTGTTAGGGTTAGGGTTGGGGGTTAAAGAGCTTGGGATTCAAGTTGGATCCACAACCCAACCTAACCCGGCCCAATCTTCACTTCTTTTGTCAACCTAGAAATAACGAGGAAGAGAAGAGGAAATGAAGTCAACTAAGGAAGTCTAGTCTATTTGTTTTTTTGTCCTGGATTCATTGTCTCGTGCATCCACTTCCTCCATCTCAAAYCAGAACTATATTTRATCAGATCTAACCACAGCGAGAGAGAGAGAGAGATGGGTTCTGAATTGTTGGTTCTGTTAGTTGTTCATCTATTAGGTACCACCAGTGCAATCTCAGACGCCGCCGGCAGGATCACTTCGTGCCCCATGGACATGGGCTATGTGCAGAGAATTCCATGGGACACCTCAACATGCTCTAGCTACCCAAGGAACATGGCCAACTGCTGCCAGACGCTTCTCAGCCTCTTCGGCATCGCCCTTGCTGTACGCCTCAAGGAGATCTCGCTCTTCCATCTCCCCGACATCCCCACTTCCTCTACTTGCATTGCTGACTTCCAGTCCCAACTCAACTTTCTGTCTCTCTCTTCCAATCTCACCTCAGTCTGCTTCAACGATCCAAGCCATTTTGTAGAAGGCCACCCACTTTGTGCAGGTATCAGGACCAAGCAAGATTGGGTTGACAGGCTTGGGCCCTCCACTGCACTCGACACAGCATGCCGACCGGATCTCACTTCTGGCACCGCCTGTCATGCCTGCCTTACTGCAGGGTTGAAGGTTCAGAAAAAGTTAGTTTCGATTGATGGCAACATAGGACATGCTCTTGATTGCTTTAATTTCACAGTTCTCTATGCTGCTGCCTTTGCAAATGACTATGCCCCCGAGAGCACTCGTGCTGCCTGTATATTTGGGCTGCCACTGGCCTCATCTGAGGATTCAGAGGAGCTCTTGGCTCTTGTATCCGCCTTGGCTGGTGGTGCAGTGGTTGTTGCACTTATGTCTTGCATATTGGGCTTATGTTTTTGGTTCAACATGGTTTCAGGCGATATCAGTGTCAAGTCTAAGTTGGAGAAAATATCCAGGCGCAGAGTGAGACCCAATACAGTGTCAATATGGTTCAAAATTGGTGAGCTTGAGAAGGCCACAGATAACTTCTCACAGAAGAATTTAATTGGGCGTGGCGCGTTTGGAGTTGTCTATAAGGGCACCTTATCGAATGGAACTCCTGTTGCTGTGAAGAAGATCATAGAATCAGAATTTCAAGGGGATGAAGAATTCTGCAATGAAGTTCAGATCATTAGCAACTTGAAGCACCGGAGTCTTGTCCCACTCAGAGGCTGTTGTGTGGTTGATGAGGATGTTGATGAAGAGAAAGGAAAACAGAGGTATCTCGTGTATGATTACATGCCCAATGGCAGCCTTCATGATCATCTCTTCTATCCATTCAACAACCAGATGAACAGAAGCAGAAGGCAGCCTCTCAGTTGGCCTCAAAGGAAGAACATAATCTTCGATGTGGCCAGGGGTCTTGCCTACCTGCACTATGGAGTGAAGCCTGCAATATATCACAGAGACATCAAGGCTACCAACATACTCTTGGATGCAGATATGAGGGCAAGAGTTTCAGACTTTGGACAGGCCAAGCAGAGCAGAGAAGGAGAGCCTTATCTCACCACCAGAGTTGCTGGTACACATGGCTACTTGGCCCCAGAGTATGCCCTCTATGGGCAACTGACTGAGAAGAGTGATGTTTACAGTTTTGGGGTGGTTGTTCTGGAGATAATGAGTGGAAGGAGAGCACTTGACACATCCTCAGAGTCTCCCCGAACCTTCTTGATTACAGACTGGGCATGGTCACTGGTTAAAGCAGGACGGATAGAAGAAGTTCTGGATGCATCACTTCTGAGACATGACAATTCCACTAGACCCTACCCCAGGGGGATCATGGAGAGGTTTGTGCTGGTGGGAATTCTGTGTTCTCATGTCATGGTGGCTCTGAGGCCAACCATCTTGGAAGCACTCAAGATATTAGAAGGAGACATTGAGGTTCCTCCAATTCCAGATAGGCCATTTCCACTGGGCTACCCATCTGGCCATCTGGCCATCTATCCACAACAATGAGAAAACTTTAAGAAAATTGTCCCTCATGAGTGTCCTTACTGCTTAAACCCTAGAGACATAGAAAGCTTGTATGGTTCACAATTTGTACATATTTGTAAAGAGCAAAACAACACTATCAGAAACCAAGAAAAAGAAAAAATGGGTTTGGTTTTCAAAACCATCAAAACATGAACGCTGTGGCTCCAATACCGGCCAACTCCAACTGCCATACTAGCTTGAGGACAATCACAGCCCATGGGAATTTATTCTTATGTTCTTTAGGCTCAGTTTGGAAGGAGTACAAATACAAATGTGTAGAATGCAAAATCATTGTATTTTGTATTATTTTGTATGCATTTGCACTGTATAAATTTGTATTTGTACTCCTTCCAAATTGAGTCATAGTTCGATGGGAGTGATGCTTTGTTGGAAAATGGGGTCACTGTAACTTTGGAGGAGAAGCTATGAGGCGCGTCTGAAGACATTGCCTTTAGAACTTTATTTGCCCCCACTAAATTTCACTGAGTTTGCTGTTGGGTTACAAACAAATCTGTTCTCAGGATACAACAGAGCCTTGGGCGAGAATCTACAACGAGCAAAATTGAAGAATCTCCAGAGAAACCTTCTGTGAGACTGCAGTAGACCGGACTGATAGAGAGAAAGAGAGTGAATTTTGAAAATGTGTGTTTTTGAAGTCTGATTCATGCTCCTTAAATAGTTTATGAAGACGTATGAAGAAAAGGTAGGTGCTGGTTTAGAGAATGCACCTTGAATAGTCACAATTTCAAACATTGTAACTGTTTAAAAAGTAGTTAATAGTTACTGACTGTTAATTTTGAATTGTGCCACTTGATCACACCCGATCGAATAGTGACCGTTGATTTCATCAACGATGATCAATGGTCAGCATCGCACCAAAAACAAAGCCGCCCTTCGCGAGCCACGTGAAGTGCGAGCAAAGTGTGCCTCTAAAGCGCCTCATTGCACCGCACACACGCGCTCACATGCGTGCACGTGCGTTGCGCGGTATCAAACCCCCATACTCTCCTCTACTATTTCTAAGGAGTGTAAATCAGCTCCTATTAAGATACTGAAAATAAAGCTTATAATTTTCCAATGTGGGACAAGTTCAAAACTGGGTTTTGTAAGAGAAAAGCTAATTTTTCAATCAAGTGTGTAGGTGCAATTTCTCATGTAATTGACCAGTCAAACCCATTGGATTTAATCTCTTGTGAGATTAAAATCCAACAATCCCCCACATTGATTGATCAATTACAT